TAACTTTTGAGTTGGCAGCATCACTTCTTACCACTAAGCCACTAGAGTTCCCTTAAGTACTGATGGATTGTAGAAATACAAGTATACATTGACTGCCACATAGAAAATTCAGGGCCTAAAAATGATCTCAAAACTTTTGAAGGATAGGGGGACTGTGCACAAGTTGGCTAATGTAGGCCTGTCCTTCTCTTTTGCAGATCTGTTCAACTTAATGGCCAGATTCTGAAGATGGTGGATGATCAAACCTTGCCAGCTTTGACAGAAAAACCCCTCCGCCCAGGAAGTTCCCTGGGCTTGCCGGCTTTTTCATATGGGTTTTTTGTGATAAGAAATGCCAAAGTTCCTGCTTGCATCTGATATGGAAAGGTGTTAATAACACCAACCCTGAGATGGCTATAATAAAATGTATTAATAAGAGGAAAGCAAAACTCAAGATTTAGAAAGACAAGAAAGAAGATACATTACAATTGAACTTATGGGCTCTTCAGAGAAATTGGGACATTCTCAGGGCCAAGTTTAATACAATATCTTCATTTTTCCAAGTAGACTACCACTAAAAATAATAACTCATAATCCCTGGTGCCAAACATTATGCTTAGCTCTGTGCATGCACTATTTTTATTTAAAGTTATTAAAAATATGTATGAATGCTTCCAGAATGCCCAGGAGGCAAGTATGTGAAGGTTATATTATTAGTTTTTAAAGCATTCTTAGTTGTTTTTATTTTTTAAAACTGTCACGAGAAGGTTGTTGCATTTCTCCTTGTAGGTGCCATTTATTTGGAGTCTGCTGGGAAAAGTTTATGGCCAATCTTCAAAACCACTCTGAAAGTGGACCCAAACTGGGAGCTGGGATCAAGCCGCTGTCCCTCTGTTTGGCTGCAGTAATATGGAATGGGATAGAGGGTTAGGTGCAATAATATTTTTAAAAAACCAAAGGAAATTCAGAAGGAAAGGATTAGATAAACTTCAAGTGAAATTATTTTAAAAGACTGTAAATGAGATTTGGTTACCAACAGAGGAGGTTGAGAAAGCATTCAGTATGTTTTAACTATCAACGTTTACTTAAAATCTTGTTTTGATTGGGGATTACTTGGCAGTAAGTAACAGAAAATCCTTGTGTGAAGAGGCTTAAGCAATATGGATATGTGTAATTCCACCTAGCGAGAAATTTAAGTAGGGTGAGCTCCAGTTACTGATGCATCACAAAGGATCCAGGGTGCATGGATCTCTCTGCTCGGCCCTCTTTTGTGTTGGCTTCTTTCTCCAGCCAGTAGCATGATGCTGTTCCAAATACCCATTCATTTCCATCAGCAGCAGAGAAAGAATTTTATCCTGTGACTCCTTCATAGACTTGAAGAAGCCTCTTTTTCAGAGGCATCCCTGTGTCTTCTCTCATGTCACGGACCAGTTGCATAGCCCCCCTCCATTCCGCCACTGCCCCCCAGTTACTGAGATTCCTGCAGTTATCTCAGAAAGTGATCTTTAAGAGTGGAGTAGAAGTTGAATTGCCTACAGCACAGACCCCCTATATTTCTGTGATTTTCCTGTTGGTGATAGAATGTACCATTTTCCCCTTTATAATAACTTTTAGAAATATATATTTATGCTTGCTATGACTATTGTCTTAAATAAATTTAAGTATATTTATAAAGAGCTAAGCCTGAGACTTAACATTTTGGATGTTTCGATGTCCTTACATTTTATAAATAAGTAGTTTTGTATTTTCACATTTGAAATAAAGTAATTTTATAAACTTCATATTGCATAATCACTCTCTTTATAAAACATAAGCCTACAGACACCTACATTTAGCGGTCTTATTTTCTTTCACTTTTTTATTTTGTTATTTTGTGTTTCTGTTAAGAGGGAACTGTTTCATAGCTGATCTTCTAGTGGGTTTTCAGAGGCAGTATATCACAAGGAGATTACCCCATCTTTCTCCAGCAGAGCAGCTGGTGGGTTGTGGGAGCCCAGCACCTTAACGCTAAGCCACCACATCTGCCTTTTTGTGTAGGTGGCAATATTTTTCCTAACTTGTAGGTTATACTTATGCTCGGAGCTATGCCACTGGTGTGTAAAATACCACAAAGGCCCAGCAAGCAACAAATGATTTTGAGGTTGTGGAGAAACTGGAACACTTATTCACTGTTGGTGGGAGTGTAAAATGATGCAACCACTGTAGAAGGTGGTGTGGCGCTTTCTCAAAAAGTTGCAAATACAAATACTATTTGACCCAGCAATTTCACTACTGGGAATACACCCCAAAGAGACCATAACTGCCACCCAAGCAGATATGTGCACACCCATATTTATCACTTTGTTCACAATAGCAAGGAGTTGGAAACAACCTAAGTGCCCATCAACAAACAAATGGATAGAGAAGCTGTGCTATATTCACACAATGGAATACTATGCTGCATTGAAAAACAAGGAACTCATTCAATATTATTCAAAATGAGTGACCCTCAAGGACATTATGCTGAGTGAAATATCTCAGTCACAAAAGGATAAATACTGCAAAGTGCCACTGTTGTAAAACAAGACTGACATCAGGGTTGTGGAGTGACTGAGAAAGATGGGATAAATAATGTATACTGCATTGAAACAGCTGAGGGAGAAAACTGTTTAAAAGGGATATGTGATTAGGTATTATTGTCATCACAGGAGTCTAGAGCGAAGGCAGCATAGTGGAGTGGACCTGAGGAGGGATTGTACAACAATGGGGGGACTTTTACTTTTCAAAGAGTGTACTGAGGGGAGAGGGGTGGGCAGGGAGAAAAGTACAACAATGAATGAATGGAAATCCAAAGTCTGTAAATTTTCATTAAAATTAATTTTTAAAAATGCCACAAAGGCCACCCATAATGGACAGATTTTAGTAAAGTTCCCGGATTAAGAAAGACTAGGAAGCAGGATTGGCCATCCACTCCTTAAATTACAGGCCTCTGGAAACCCACTGAACAGTAGAGGAGTATGGATAATTATTTTATCAGAGGTAGAGCCCACATTGGAAGCCAATTGCCTGCTGGAATGGGCTCTAGTATGTCAGGAAGTGTGAGGATGGCACAGGTTAGGATGGGGTTCAGATCTGTTGTTCATAGGCTTGCTCAACTTGATGACACCTAACAACAACAACATCAGGAGTTTACCTAGAAGAAAAGAGATCAGGAATCAACAGAAGTTCTTACTTCACCAGGTACATTCACTAACAATCTGTCTTATCCTATCTTGTGTCCTCGTTTTGTCTTCACTCTGCCATATTCAAGATGTAATTTATCATTTTTTTGTTCTTTTATTTGGGAGCTCTGGTGGCTTATGGTAAGGAGTTGCAGGCATTGCAAATCCACCAGCTACTCGAAGGAGAAAAGTGGGAAATCTCCTCCCATTTTATCTACTTCCTTTGAAAACCTGATAAGCTATGATTCAGTTCTGACCCAACGGTCCATCGCAGCAATATTCTTCTATTAATCTTTTAATCTTGACTCTGATTGTGCTTACAATTTTTTTCTTTTTTTAAATTAATTTCAATGAATATTTACAGAGATTTTGGATTTCCATTAATTCTTCGTTGCACTTTTCTCCCCATCTACCCCACCCCTACCCACAGTTTGCTCTTCTCCTTGAAAAGCAAGAGAAAAACTCCTTCACTGGTATACAATCCCCCCGCACCCTTCCCCACCCTGAGTATACTCCACTCTGCAACCCGCATTCCAAACTCTTATGATAATCAGAATGTCCTAAAATGTATTGCTTTTAAACTGTTCTCTCCCTCATTGGTTTCAATGCAGTATACATAATTCATCCAGTTTTTCTCAGTCTTGCCCCAACCCTAAAGCATCCTTGAATATAACAACTGCTTAGGCAGAACATTAAATGATCCAGGAAGTATTAAAAGATGGAAAGAATATACTGAGAAAGGAATTGGCAGACACAGAAGAATTTCATGAAACAACATATGAGCAAGAGCCTATGGTGATGAAGGAAGAAATTCAAGCTGCTTTTTTTTAAAAAAAAAATTTTATTATTATTAAATTTTATTAGTTTTAATGAACATTTACAGATATTTTGGGTTTTCATTCATTCATTGTCCCAGGAATAGATGGTATACCAATTGACGTATATCAGCTAACAGATGCTGCCCTGGGTGTGCTCACTAAGTTGTGGCAAGAAATCTGGAGAAGAGCCACTTGGTCAACTGACTGGAAGAGATCTATATTTGTTCCCATTCCAAAGAAGGGTGACTCAACAGAGTGTGGAAACTATAGAATAATAAATATCATTGATTTCACATGCAAGCAAGATTCTACTGAAGATTTTCCAAAAACGACTGGAACAACACATCAGCAGAGAACTGCCAAAAGTCCAGGCTGGGCTTAGAAGTGGTCGTGGTACTAGCGATATTGTAGCTAACGTTAGATGGATCTTTTCTGAAAGTAGGGAATACCAGAGGAATGTATATCTGTGTTTCATTGACTTTGCAAAGGCGTTTGACTGTGTGGATCATAACAAACTGTGGCTGACTCTGAGAAGAATGGGAATCCCAGAACACTTGATCATCCTAATGAGAAACCTAGACTTGGACGAAGAGGCAGTGGTCAGAATGGAGCAAGGAAACACTGCTTGATGGTTCAAAATTGGGAAGGGCGTACACCACGGATGTGTCCTGTCTCCATACCTTTTCAACCTGTATGAAGAACAGATTATCCGGGAGGCTGGGCTCTATGAGGAGAAATGAGGGGTCAAGATTGGTGGAAGATCTATCAACAATCTGTGATATGCAGATGACACAACCCTGCTTGCTGAAATTGAGGAGGACCTGAAGCGCTTGCTGCAGAAGGTCAAGGACTGCAGCCTCCAATATGGATTGAAGCTCAATGTCAAGAAGACAAAGATTCTCACCA